GACAACATAAAAAATAATTTCATTAACAGTTTCTCATCTTTCAATCGACAAAATTAAGTCTAATTATACGAAATTCTTTATTTTATCTTTAAAAATGTTGCCATGCTAAGTGCCCCCTCAGAAAAACCATTTAAAGAAATTAAACCTTCAGTTCCCTTTATGAAACTTACTGTGTAATGTTTTTTTAAAATTATGCACATACTATTTGATATTACTTCACAGTAGTTTATAGCAATAAATTATAGAAAACAAAATCTTTCTGCTCATTTTACAACTTCACATTTACTATTCAGTTTCAGGATTCATTTAAGGATCTTTTTTCTTTCGTATAAGGAATTCAAAGTTGAATATAAGCAGTTCTTCTAAAAGTTTTCATCGTTAAATAGACAGCATTTTTTATTACTTAGGACTGGAAGTGAAATTTTCTGTATGATTAAGTTGCTTAAAAGTATCTTTTCAGTGCTTGTGAAAATTTATGCTCAGAGATTCGAATTTATGTTGCTGTTTAGAAACCTCTCCTTTTGTGACACCAAGCTGAATAATTAAAAGAATAGCATAAGCTGAGACTCTTAAGCAGCTGCTTTTGCATTTGATAAAAACAGGCCAGTGCTCTAGTGTTTCTCTAAATTTTCCGAGCCTACTTTTTTTCAAACTAAATGTCGATCTTTTGGCTTTCCTTTAAAATAATGATGCTGTACTAATTAAACATGCATTCGTCCATTGTACTGGTTTCCACATTTTTAGCAAATAATAAATCTTGACACATTTTTCTTCTTATGTTATGAATCGAAAGTATGATGAGAGTAGTTCTTCGCTATTTGGTAGAGTTGATTCGTCAAGTTGAACGGAAAATTATCAAGTAATTCACATAATAATATTTCAACGTCTTAAACCACAGCTATTCTTCCTTGCAGCTACTCCTCTTTGCACCAAATTATTACTTTGTAGAGACATAAGGTTATTTCAAAGCAGGAGAGATGAAAAATGAGCAATGCCTTTGCCGTGTCTCGAACCAAGGACGTCTCGAATACGCGCCGAGCGTGCTGAACACTACACTATGAAAGCATGCTAAGAAGGTTGGAGATATACCTTATAGGAATTTTTCTGATGATTACTGACGGTGTGTTAAACATAAACAAATAACAAATAAAATATACAATACTTTAGAATACTGAAGCAGTCTTGAAAAATTAGATGTACTCATGTTAATAACATATAAACTTTTCCCTGCAATTCGTTTTTGTGCAAACCTCAGATCTTTACTACATCCATTTGCTGAAATGTTTGGACATTTCAAAATCTTTACTGATTTCTAACCTGCTACTGTATTTTCTTTCTAAAAGAAACTGAACTGACCGAATTTTAAGCAAAATAGTAAATTTTTGCGGGGGGAAGGCTAAAACAAAATAATCTGAAACAAGATAATTTTTGAAGTATCATTTTCATTAAATTATACTATTCCATTTTTTTGCTAAGTTTTAAACAAACAACAATCATTGAGAAGTATCTTTCATTAATCACTTTAAAAAAAAAGAAGTATTTATAGCAATGAAAATTGATGTGCAAATGAAATGATAAAATATTTGTTATTTATACCTTTCTATTTATCACTTTCAACTATGATGTTTTTCATAAATGCTGCATAATTGGAACCATAAATGTTGGTAGCAAATTTGTTGTGATCTAATAAACTGTTTGGTTTTTTCCAGTCTAAAGAATTAATAGTATTTTTCTACATCAGAAAAAGATTTGAAAAAAAAAATCTAAGCTTTAATTTCATTCCCAGTGTCCGTTTGAGCTGCAACATCCCAATCAACTGAAATATAAGTTTTATGCAATTAAATATATGGCATAAAAGAAGTTGTTACATGTTAACAGCTATTTTTGTGTTTTTCGTTTTTGGTTTATCAGAGACAAATGTATAGCAGTTTAATTAAAGCACAATAAATTGAAACATGCGGAACTTATTCAGGGTAATGATGTGAAGTAACAAGGAAATTAGAATACATTGTGAATAAAGCTTTATAATACAGCTGCACGCATTTTTAGTTGATCAAGTGACAGAGATGTCATAAGAAGTTGTCAAAAACAGGTGAAAACATTTTCGTTGCTTAAGATCAATCTGGTTAATTTTTTTATGTAATTGGCTTTGAATTCTGCTTACTCAAGATATATAAAACTGTTCTTTACTCAGTGTGTTAAGGGAATTTTGTTCCAGTTTTACTGCAGTAAGTACTTCCTTATTTTATTGTTAATAGATATGAAAATGTTCAGACAATTTTTAATTGCCGTAATAAACTATAAAAGTGCAAATTTTTATATGGTGTATAACATCTATGTAATATTATTACATCTATGCAATTGAAATTAGGCATCGCTGTATAGAATGAAATTGAAAATCTGAGAAAACGTTTTAATAATTAATAGGAATGATTTTAAAAATTTTAGTGACAATATTTCCATTCTGTTTTTAGAAAAGTTCAAAATTGAATTGATTTTGAATACACGTGATTAAAATGTCTTTTAGAACACATATTTAATGTTCACGTGGGAAAGGAAAACGTCACATGAATTATATATATAGGAAATTTCACCAACTGGAGTTTACACCATCTCGAGTTTTAAAGCAATCTAAAAAACAAATAATGATTTCTCTTAAATTTATTGCATGTAACATGTATTTGTATACGAATACAAATACAAAAAAAAAAATGTAGTATAAAAAATAGTATCTTCGAAATTGACTATGCCGTTAATCCCATGGTAAGTTTCATGTAAGCTGAAATTTAATTCAAGTATTAAAAATAAAATTTAAATTTCTACCATTAAATCCTTTATCTTCTCACAGTGCTTTAATCAGTATACATGTAATAGCATGAGCATCGAGAGCAATTTGAATCCAAATCTTATCTGATCTGCGAAAATGTGTCTGATATCAGTTAAAATTCTTGAGGCTGGCAACCAGAGACTTTTATTTCAATGATGTGATACGAAAGACCTGTTTCTAACTGACGCTGCATTCAAATTAATTTGGCTAATTCCACAGGATCTCTGCAATGGCATTCACATACACGTATATACAAATATGTATTTCAAATACGTAAGCATCTAATATTTTTGTACATGGAGGCTAATGACCAAATCTTAAACTACACTCTCGGGAATTAAATGAACATGTTAATTTTACTTACCTTGTGCATTTTAAAGCATCAATTTTAATGCATCTATAACATTTCATTCATGTTAAACATACTGGTTTCTGTTCTTAATTCAAATAAAATATGTTAAAAATAGATCTGACAGTGGAAAAAATTTAAAATGCATCAAAAATAGAAATTTGTAGGTTTTATCACTGTTTTGCCGTTAATTACTTCAAAACTGATCATAATTATTAAACTAGCAAATCAAAATAAACAAATTCACTTGCCATTTTCACTGATATCAACTGCGAAACATGCCGGCTTGCATATGAAAACCTCTGCTGTGAGCAATATTTCAGTTGCTAATGTTTACCGAATTGTTGTGAAATACTGCTCATCTCAAGGCATATATTTCATAAATTTTGATATAAAATGGTCATTATTAAAGAAGCTTATTCGACTGAACTTTTAATTTCTGTGTAACCAGTTGTCAGCAGTACGTAGTGTAATGTGAAATGTGAGCGCGTAAATATAGAAAGTATGAAAAACATGCGAAACGAAAAGGAGTTTTAATCACAGCAGCATATGTAGTCCTCTCTGGGACACAGACATGTTTTAAAAACAGATGTTGATCTCATCAACATATCTCTAAAAAAATATATTTCCCAGAGTGAACTACATGTCATACTTATAAACATTTCCCACTTTTTATAACACTTTAAGAGACTCTCAATCTCAGTAATTTACGATACAAAAATGTCCGTTGCTTCTCTATAAAAAGCAAAAAAATATGAAAAAATTTAAATATTTAGAAAAATTAACCCGATTCCGAACTTTTATAAATATTTTAATAATTTTCCATTTCTGAGTTTTGATGGTGTCTTAAAATGTTATAAAAAGGGTGAAATGTTTATAATTAAGCATCATATCTAGAAGTCCTCTCTGGAAACAGACAGTTTTAGGCAGATGTTGTTAAAACCATCTGTGCTCCAGAGTGAACTATGTATGCTGTTAATCCCAAATATATACGAAAATAGTTAAAATGAACGACCAGGAACTATAATACATACATCAGAATGATTATGGAGGGTCTGGTGTACATTTTGCAAAATGCTTGGCATGTCACATACTTCTGCAGCAGCGACGTTAATTTTGGTGCAAAGGGTCTTCAGAAAAGTTTTTAAACGAGATTCATCATCATTATGAAATATGTATTGCATTTGCTGGTCGTTGATTTGAACATTTCTGGTAAATATCAAACTTATTTCTAATAAATATCCGCGATTAAAACGATTTTTTGTTGTGTTTCTGCCTTCACATTCCCCTTTCTACTACATACTGTATTACGAACACTGTTGCTATTGCTTTGTTTCATCATTGTTTAAAATTGTGACCATCAATTCTGTTACACCATACACATATATAGGGGGTAAGAGATGGACGCAGCAGAGTTCCGAAATTAAGTGATAGTTTTTACATTTCCTACGCCCAACGATTATAATTTTTTTCCCATCGTTTATTTTACTCAAGTATAAAATTCTTGCAGATCAAAGGGCTGAAGCAAAGTGCATTTCCTCATATTTTCAGTTCATCAAACCAGATATGTTGCTATAGGTTCCAGGCAGAATTTCGTGAACTAGGAATCTTCATCTGGGTTAAAATTTTGTACATTTCAAAGTAAAATACTTTTTTATATTTCAGTATTATCAATTTTTGAGCACGTTATTACAAATATCGAACAGAATCTAGCAAAAGCCTGAGAACTTTATCAGCAGAAATGTTTATGCTTATTTCAAATGAACTTTTTTTTAGCATTTCAGTATTAATATTTTTTTACATAATACTGCGCATTTTAATTAGGTTCCTGCAAACATGGCATGTGCATCAGGATTAATGCTTTGGTATTTTGCCATCCTTGGAAGTGTAATATCATCATCATTACGAAATATGACAGGTGAGTCAAAATTTGTTTCCTTTAATTACTGAAATAATGACCCATTATAGACAGGAAACTAGGTTTTTCTTGTAAACTAAACTATCTGCATGATAATCTGTCAAAAAATGTAGGTGTTTGCTTTCAAAAATTCGATTCATTAGATTTTTGAGGTTTAAAAAATATTTCCAAGCATTCTGAATTATATTCATTTTTTATAAGGTTACATTCTATAATTTACAGGTAAATGTGTGGAACCTTAAGAACTGGCAAGCGAATAATCACTTTGGCTCAGGAAACGGAAACGTAAACTCAAGAAGGGTTAATTGCCCTTGATTGCTCAAAATAAGGTTTAACAGATGGTCCTTTCTCAAGACCTACAAAACAGCCTCTACTTGTGCTTGAACTCAAGAACACTAAGAAATAAAACTTAACTAATGCTTAGCTAAAAAGATATAGCAGAAGCTATCAAAATTCCGGCTCCTAAATGGTAACTAAACGGCGAAGCTATCAAGGGCCTGAAATAGTCCGAGAATAATATTGGCTTTAGAAGGAGTGTAGCCAAAAAGCGAACGCGCGCTAGGTCAGAATCCTTGGCTCTCTAACGAAGTCAGTGGAACTTCGACTTAAGTACTACTCTTCCTTCATTTGCATTTAACCGCGATTCTAAAAACGCATTCTGGTAGGAAATCGTAACCTAAGATAACTGTTAAAAACTTAGGATAAACTTTTCAAACCTGTATTTGAAAGATTACAATTTTTAATTATAAATATTTCGTTGGCAGTTTGTCAGATAGAACAATCTGTTATTAATTAACAATTTTTTGCTCACATTTAAAAACTCTTTTTATGCTTAAAAGACATTTTAATATGTAAAGAATTACCGCATTGCTTAAAGCATACTGTTGTGGCATATATGGTTAGTATGTCTAGTTAGCAAGTGATAGATCAGTGACTTGAATCCTATCGAAACTAGAAATGAATGTTCATGTTATCGCCTCTATACAGTCTCTATAGAGTACTTGAATTAAAAATAGGCTGGGGCGTAACCTCGTCAGGCATTTGAATTTGGTCAAATGGACCTTTCTCCAGTCGCCGTTTAAAAGAGAGATAATGTAAGGAATTCATTTTCCTTACGTGCTCTTAAGATTTAAGTGTTTAGCATGTTTAGCTATCTCATTGCAAGATCCGTGGAAAGAAACGCGACAATGGCACAGTTGATTTTATACATTTTCTGTATCTACCTTTTCATCAGGAAAACATACAAAAGCGTAGACTACTATGCTAACACAGAGATGTGTATAATTTATGAGAAAGATGTTTGAGAATATTTTTATAAAACTCATAACTCAGTTTTTCTCGAAACGAAATGCTTGAGAAATATTTAAAAACATTATAGAAACAATGTTTTTTGTGCTTTTATGTTTTTGACTAGGTGCTGACGTCATATGCTTCCTTTTCCACTGTTATTAACGTATAGGTTAGTGTAGCATTTTAAAATAACTAATTAATTATCAGTTCTTTAAATACTTCTCATGTTATTGACTCATTATTTACGCATGCATAAAGGGATGCTAATTTCATGCTAACAGGGCCCACTGAAAAGGTTTCCTAGTAAACTTTTAAATGGTTGCTGTATGATTTATTTCAAATTATTTCCATTACAAAAGAAAGGGAATCATTTTTTTAAATTTTACTGCGTGTAATGTACTTCAATCGAACTTTTGATAATGAAATCTTCATTTCAAGGCAATTCATTTTACGACACAAATTAACAAATTATCTGAACAAAAAAAGCTTCGTGTGATGAACGGTGTCTCGAGATACGAGCACTCAAGTGGGCAACATATGATTTTTAAATTTGTTTTGAGATAACCTATGCTATATGATTAACACTCAGGGGTATCTCTAAACATTATGTTAATATTTTTCGGTGCTAAACTCTCGTTAATAAAACCTGGCAGCAAGTGACTTGAGGACCATAAATTCGGCCTGCAGGAAATTATAGCCAGCTTGAGTAGTAAGCTGAGCTTTGAGGCTTTGAAGGACTTAATAGGACGTTTTCGTTATCTATCATCGTTTTTGTTATGGTTTTGTTATCTATTCTGTGTATCTAAACAAAACCGTAGGTTAGGATGCTAACAGTCAGAAGAAGTTTTAGAGAAATTACTAGAGAAAGAGCAAAATAAGCTCAAAAGAAGGAATTACAACAATTGCAGAAGCAAAGGCGATTTTGGAAGCCAGCTCTTTGAAAAGAGGAAGAAATAAAGGCTATCCTAATTCTCTATTTTATTAACCGTTTGAGTCCGGCGAAGCGCTATCGCGCTTCACTTGTCGTATGCCAAAAATACGGCGCAGCGCGATAGCGCTTCTCTTGTTTTGTATCGAGAAAGCGAAGACGCTGCTGTTGGTTAGTATACTTGAAAAACAAATATTGAAAAATAAATTATTTAAAAAAATTTATTATTTAAATATTTATTATTTAAATAAAATTGAAAAATAAATTATTGAAATATTCAATTGGTTTCGCATCAGGAGGAGGGGCATACTTTGGTCCAGGTACTTCAGAAAAAGTATTCGATTCATTCGAAAAAATTGTATCCACGGGTAAAAACTCATCAATAATATCGTCATCAGAGGTACTTGCAGTTACTTCATCATCATCACTGCTATCACTAATAACTCGTAATCTCTTAGAACGAATGATGATGTCATTTCCATTATCACTTTCAAGGTCATTACTATTCGTTATCACTTCTCATAACATAGTCACTTTCAAATGAATCAGAACTTGACATGGGTTATCTCGTAATTATCAGTATAACATTTGGTAAAAAATGAAAACAATTTCCAATTCCTATAAAACAACTGCTAGTGATATCACTACAACCTCTCTCAATAATTGCGTAAAGTATACTAAGCAACAGCAGCGTCTTCGCATTCTCGATACAAAACAAGAGAAGCGCTATCGCGCTGCGCCGAATTTTTGGCATAAGGACAAGTGAGCGCTTCGCCGGACTCAAACGGTTAAATTTCTGTATAATGGGGTGAGATACAAGGTTTCCAAGTAACGATATCACACTGCTAAAACACTTTTCAATGACAATGCAATGTCTCAGTTTAGGAAAATTTAAAATGTAGTCAACAAGAAAATCAAGCAAAGATAAGAGTCAAATACAAACCACAGAGTATCAAGCAGAGTCAGGTGGTGTTTAAAGATAAGGAAAAGAAAAAGATAAAAGAAGATGTCTGTAAAGACAGTCAGTCAACACATATTTTTACGAAAGGGAATTTCACATGCAAACAGCAACATCTTCCTCATCACTTGCCACTTACATCGTCTACCTTCCTTTTATATAGGTATAACAAAATTAAATCAACTTTTCCTCTGTTTTTAATCTGTTTAACATTTTAGATATCTTTTTTGCCTTATATTTAATTATACCCACGTGTTTTGGCTTATAAACTCTCTCACAATGTAAATTTACATAAATAATCATCTTGTCCTAAAACGAATTATTCATCCCTTCATACCTATGGGAAAAATTGTTACCAGTGACTACAATGCTCGCAATGGTTTCTTAACCTGGAAGAATTTCATATTTCAAGGGGAATAGCGGTCAGCCTTTTATTTATCTATTAAGGATTCAGTTTTAGTTGATGAATATAAAAACTACTTTTATTCACGTTTTGACATTTTTCATTATTTTCGATACCTTTTCATTTTTATCTTATACAGTACATTAAAAATAATCTAACTTATAAAATATATGTCATTTTCGAAGTTTGGATAGCAGGGGAGGAATAATCATCTAGCAATGCGAAAGTGGTGCGTGGGCAAAAAAAAGTTGAGAACCACTGTCCTAAGGCTTTAGAGTAACTTTAGTAGTTCAGTAGTGCTTGGTGATTACCAATTTGAAAAGCAAAGCTTTGCTACAGCATCTAGCGATGGGCTAGAGACATCGTGGGAGTAGGACTTGAAGACTGAAGATTGACAGACTTTAAAGATTCAGACAGAAAATAGATGCTTTTGCCAGAATTACTCATTAGATTAGATGATGAGTATATCTGCTTCTGGTGCTCAGACTGAGTCGAACCCAAGATGAAGTATCTAGATTAATAAAAGCAAATTCTTCTACACCATAAACGGTTCTTGTCAATTAAAATTCTTTATAAGAGTAGTACTACGAAAAATCATTTCTAGTATTCCCAGCCACATATTAGGGGTAGCCGCATATTAGGGTTTAATATATTCTGATTATTCAGTTTACGGTAGTTAATAAATTACTCTAAAGTTTAAGAATAATTCGCCATATTCCATAGGCAATAAAGAAATTCAAAATGCTAATTTTTAATTTGTAAGATATATCTCTGAAGCGCGACTTAGTATTATGTTATTTTATTTTGTGTTAAAAATAACTGCCGTCTACTACAGTAATCTTAATATTTTTTAAATAAAGTTTTAGATGTCATTTGAAAGAAAATTTTAAGTATTAAGATAATGTTTTGAGTTAAGGCACATGATTTTCCTTACATTGAGGACAGAAGTAAAGTAATAACTGATCTAAATAAATCAAAAAATTGAGAACCTTTCCTAATAATTTTAAACTTCGTATTCTTAGTGACGTGACATCCATATTATCCATTTTTTTAAATAATTTGGATTACGGATTTCTCCCGCCCCAGATGTCATAATGTCAAGCACACATATTTTTACAATTTTCAAAAATAAAAATAATTGTACTGTAAAAGTTTTCACTGCACCTTGGATTGAAGGAAAATTAAAAAAAAAGTTCTTGCATATAAAATTTTCAAATTTTAAATGGAGGTTATTAATTTTTCGAATTTTAAATGAAGTTTATTAAACTGGAATAAATAGTAAGCCTAAAATCTGTAAATATCGTTTGCTTTAATTATCATGTCTAAGCATTTTATTGAAATACATCGATTTCTGTTGCCGAAACGTACACCAAGTCGTATCATATTGCTCTGTAAGAGTTCTCAAAACCGGTGGAAGCATACCAATGATGGTACGCAAAAGAAAAATGTAGTACGCAAAGAAGCAAAGTATTTTTAACTATTAAATTCAAAAATTAAATCCCCAATATCCTGGATGAGATTTTCTCTAACACTATGCGATTTGAGCTTTGTTCAAGAATGGTGGTGGTAGTAGCACTTTGCAGTGGTGGTACTTAAGGTTTTCAACTTTTGTTTAGGCGGTACGCGTTAATCAAAAGGTTGAGAACCGTTTGTCTAAGGGAAGGAAAAATAATGATATTAAGAGTATGAAATTTGTTCGTGCTCTAACGAAATATAATAATGATGAATACTGTAGTACTCGTCATTGTGAGAATTAGGAACGTCCACTTAGAGCCCAATGTCGATTCTAGGGTTCGTTACTCTAATATGATTAACACATATTTAAGGGAGCTCTTGCTACTTCAAATGAGATCCTCATACTGCCTTCAGATAAGTGTATGCCGTGTTGCTTCCATGGACCGTCGACTAATGCGAGATGTTTTGATTCGGCAAGTTTTCAAACTCTGTACACTTTATTCGCATTTATATTTACTAATCTCACTATTTATTGAATTGCTTGGTTAAATAAATGAGTCTGGAAAGAGCAAACAAAAATTAAGTACATAAGTTATTTTACATCCATTCAATATAAATGCTGTACTTTTGTAGCAAAGCCAGTTAAAACATAAATTAAAATACTATAGCAGAAACACTATAATACAAACTGTAACATAAGTAAGGTAAAGGTAAAGGTAAAAGTATGGGGGACACCAGCGATGTACCATAGGTCAACTGGTAATGCCTTCCTATACTAACTCTTTGAAAAAAAAAGGAGGGGGTTGATTGGAAGTTTTATAAGAATTTGCATAGACTGAAGCTTTCAAACGTTTAGAGTTTGCCTATTATGGTACATCGTGCAGTTCCACAGTACGCCCCGCATCCAGTATTTATTAAAAATAATGGTGTAGGGCATAAATAGATTACAAAATAGTCGGAATACAATTTGAGATTCACAAGATAAATTGAATATCTGATTTGATGCAACAAAAATAGGAAATAAACATAATTAATAAACAAATAAACATAATGAGATAATTATAATTAGTACTGGCAAAACAATGTTAAAATGAATTGTTATAATACGTAATGCTAAAAAGGTGGGTGTTCATGGGTTATTTCAGATATATTGGTTTATTGTAGTTTATAAAAATCACGAGCGGAGCCATTTTGTCCATAATTACAGCATGTAAAATTTCACTAAGTTTAAACGGTATGTGGACTTACACTTGACAGAGATCTAGGCCGTAGGAAGAGACTCGTTGCTTGGATATTGATGTTTATCTTTAATTAAAAACTTTTGGAATGCCAGAAGGTCAGTTCTTGGGGATTTTATGTGAATATCCTCAGTTAAGGGGCATGAGAAAGTGTAATGATCAGGAATTCCCACATATACAGATATCAGAATTTGCCGAATTTCTTGCGTAGAAATATGTGGGAAAGGTCCATCTCCTGTTATAAAGTAATTTAGTAAAGGATTCGAGTTCAGAGATGCGAAGCGTACACTGGGGATCAAGTTATATGTGTGTCTTCCCTCTGGAGCATTGTTCCACAATGCAAGATTTGAAGCAAGTTGTTTTAGTTGGTACTTGGAATTTGAGCGAGGCCAAGGAATGATGATTTCAGTACCATCTTGATTAATAGCTGCTTCTTTGGCTAGGTCATCTGCCTGATCATTACCAAAATCACCACTATGTCCTTTGATCCATGAAATAAACTGTAACATAAATAACATAGCAATAAAACATAAGTTAAAGCATTCTTCTTTGAATAGCATGCAAGAATGATAACCTTTTCCTTATTTATAGATATCGGCCCAGAGGTTTTAGACATGTTACTTCAAACAGGCCAATACGAAGAATTCAGTAAACGTAAGTATGAAATGTCCCCAAAATCTTTATAATTTTGAAATTTTGTTAAAATTAAACATCTAATTAAAATAATTCATTATTAATTAATATCTTCAAAGTTTTCCTTTTTGAATGAAGCAGTAATTAAATTAAGTTGAATGATCTCTTTGAAAGTGCAAGATTCAAGTAACCAAGTTTTGAAAAGTAATTCGTGTGCTCTAACGTAGCTTATAGTACTGCATAATATGTTTAAGCTTATGATACGTAAGAAACAATACAATTGTGATACTTCTGTGTACAAAAAGTATTTCGATGATGATTTTTCAAGTTATTAGATTTCTCTGTCATGAATATTGTGCATGCATGAGAATGTACACTTGAAATCATCTAAGGTAATAATTAACTCCCACTGTAATCACTCCTATGTAATTTTACAAAGTAATTCTTAAGAAAGTAAACTTATTAAACTTATTTTTGTTACCGCGAGAGAAGTTTGGATGCAACTTCGAGTTTTTTAGAAAACACTTGCAATAGTTATTTTATATTATCTGCATTGCGGAATACTGTTACCTGAACCAAATTTGTATTTCATTATTTTTTGTATTACTGTTACTTTTAATTTTGCAAATATCAACAACAGTAACAGTATTCCAAGTTTTGTGAAATAAAATTAGAGATCAATGAGCAATTAATTATCAGTTTTATTAATAAAGATTTTGTAATTAATGAGATCTTAACTATGCCTATCAGTCGAGCATATATTCGGCTATTGACCCCTTGATCATCATAGATCCGCTTCATCAAAACCGATCCTGTTTGGAACCCCTGAGCTAGGCTATAAATACAGACCTCGTCGTTAAATGAAACCACCAGGAGAACGCACCGAGATTCACATGCTCCCTGATTTATATCACCTACACTGTTAAACTGATAGTTCATTACATTACACCCAATGATAAAATTCTACAGAAATGGATGACCCAATCTGAAAGTCAAACTTAACATCTATGCGAAAGGAAACGGAATGAGATCCTCTTTGATGAAATCTACGCTAAGTTTGTTTATAAAGATGGTTAGGAATCTTGTTCCATCCAAAAACACAGGCTTAATCGCTAAGTTGCTCACATTCTGTCTGAAAACATCTATGGAATTCTAGATTTAATTTGAATTAATGTGACATCTTGATACTCGTATTATGGAATCGTAGATGCAGAAGTTTCTACTAACTCAGTGTTATACGGTAAAGCATGAAAAGTTGGTGAATATATATTTATGTTAGAAAGACAAAATGTATGTAAATATAAACTATGATTTAAATTAGCGATAGCCCCTTAACGCTTAATTTCAATTTCAATGTTGCTCCTCTGAATTATAAAAAGAGTAATTCCTTTTTACTTTATTCTGTACTGCGTCGTTTCGAGATTAATCCATGTTATATGACTCTTACATAACGCTGGTGATTTAATGGAACTAAAGCTCAAAGAGTCGATGATAATTTTACAGCAGTATTAATTATCTAATCAAATGCATTGGGAATCGAACTTAACTGATTCTGAATTAAAATTTCATCCCGAATAGAATTCACTTGGTTTCGACGCAGCTGGACTGCTTCTTGCTGCTCTCTTCTTATAGCAAAGCTGTCATAAATGGAAATGTTTTGAAATTGGCACAAGTATTGTGCTAAGTCATTTGTGGCCGCAACATATTTTTTGAAATAAAGATGAATATTTGATCTGCCTCGGCTGCCAAGTTGCTATTCATTATGGATTAACTTTCTACGTCATCAGTATTTCTACAATATCAATACAGCTAAGTTTGCTTCATTACTCAAACAGCCATTAAGGATTTTATAATTGTATATATATCTATCTCTCTCTCTATATATATATATGCGTGTGCGTGACAAAGTAATGAAGTAAACGTATATATAACGAAATGCATAATGTAGAAAAAATCCTTAGTAACATTAATAACGTAATTTACTCAATAATAATTCTGTATAATTAATCAATCTCCTATCATACTTAATGTAGATTTAGAATATTTAATTCAAGTTAATGGAAGCGGTATTACATGAACAATTAAATTAGTTTTTAATGCTTCGTGCATATTTTCTTTAAAAGAAATTAATTATAATAATAGCTGTTTAAAAGAAACTGGATAACTCCACATTTTAAAGACTTAATATAATTTGGTATCCATCCCATTCAAAGTAAACCCTTCTTCATTTATGCTTCATTCACACAATAATAATAATTGTAATTCTGCTTGAAAATCTTTTAATTGAATAACGTCTAACGCAATCTAAAAATCAGCCTGCATGCCCTCTGCGAGTTCAATATTTCTGATCATTACGATGTGTTAGATTCATAGTTGCGATATTTGAAGCAACAGATCTTAGAACTATCCCAAGTTTCTCAAGACAAAACAGTCAAGCAGAGCTGAAAGCGCAGTAAGGACAAGCTTGTTAATTTTTTTATTGGGTGCAAAAGTGCACTGAGAATATGTCATTTTAAGTCAAACAAGCAATGTAATGCTTTACCGCAACTTTTGAGCAAAAACTAAACATTAGCTTCAAGACAATTAAGATGCTTAAATCTCCATGTTCTGAAAAGTTAAATAGCTAAAGTGAAACTCTCAAAGTTTTCTCATTATCATGCTCAGCAAATCTGGCAGGTTAAGACAAATTTTACATCCCAGTGTTAAGAAAGGTGGAACGTTTCTATTTCAATTACGTTCGAGAAATTCAGTTTCCATCGCTGAAGGTGCTAGACACATTTTAATTAAAATATTTCTCAGAAGCTTTATAATCATACTTAAAGTTTGGTATCGATGCATATATGCAGAATGGGCTTACGTTGAACGGAGTGAAGATCTTTAATTTTGGATAAGTTTCAAAGTTTGATCGGTTTCCTGTTGTCTTTTTGGTGAATATAATAAACACAGTATTAATAATATTTGTTTCTACTACACTGAATTCATGCAATTATTAATTAATCTGTTTTTTTTTATAAATTAAAAAATGCGCAAGGAATTAAATGAATAATTCATTTATTTGAAGTATAAAATAGGAACATTCTTTTAATTAAGGAAATATATAAAATAATCTATTTTGGTTAAGAAAATACAGAGGGATTGGAAAATACGAATTATAATGTTGCAATGGAAAATGAAATCAACAAGCCAGTCGTCTTTAAGAATTACAATAAATATACTTTCTATTCGACAAAATAAACGGACATTTTTAAGAAAAATTATATTTAGGAATATCACTTTTCTTATACTCTCGACTTATACTGTCCAGCATTTTGTAAAGAAATGCATCAGTTCACTCAATAGGAGTTACGATAATACTCATATTATTCAGTCATAAAACGCAAACACTTCGTACAGGAGAAAGGAGCTTAAATATATTATAACGATCTATATTTATTCAGGCATTTTCTGAAAATCATTGAAGAATATTTTGGAACATGCATAAAGATTTGAATTTTTTATTTTAGTAGATTTTTAAGGAATGTAAGTTTTTAAGAACCAAAAATATGAATACTTTACTGACATTAAAAGCAAAGATTTTTCTCAGGAGAATGACTCCATTTGCTGTTCAATTTAATGGTTTAGACAGAAGTGTGGAGAAATAGTCTGTCTTGAACTTTGAAACTAAGGAAATTAAACTTAATATTGTTCGCAAGAAGTCTGTGAAGTTGGGAAATTTGGAACAGGAAAAATATTAAGGGAAATGAAAAGCATTAAGGGATATTATTTAATCAGCGTGCTTATTCTGCCAGAAAAGAAGAAGTATATATGGAATTCTGTGAGATAATTTTGAGAAATTTAAAAATTAAAATCAGTACAAATTTATGAGCAGAGTGTATAAAACAGAGGTAACAAGTGTACAAAAGTGGGAATAACAGATATTCCTTAAATAGTGATTAAAACGTTTCTGAATCTAGAATTAGACATTTTATAAAACAGTTTCTTTTAACATTACGGATGGGTGCATTCTGTAAACTAATTATTATATTTATAGATCTCCCTACAGTAAAACTTTGCTGTTTCGGTATATGACGCATCATAAGTTACGTAACCTCATGCACAAATTTTGCTGAGATACTGGTAATTAACATGTCGGGTTCCAACATGTTATCTAACAGATAAATGTATAGGAACCTAGTGAACAAGTAAGAGAACATTCGCTTCAGTTCAGAAAGAGATACGTATAACTCAAGAACTGTTAATTACCCATTATTTCTCAAAATAAGAATTGAACAGTTGACTCCTTTCTCAGAGCGTACAGCATAGCCTCCACTTGGGATTCAACTCGGAGTAATAAGAAACAAAACTATTGCTTAGCCAAAAATGTATAGCCGAAGCTATCAAAATTCTAAGTAGTTGGCCCCTAAATATCAACTAGACTGGCGAGCTTATCCCTGCCTGTACGGTCGAATTTATAGCATAGAGAAGTGTGCAAAGGCAAACGCGAGCTACTTAGAATCTCTTCTTCTCTAACAAAGTCAGTGGAACTCCGACTTAAATACCGCTCTTACTCATTTGCATTAACCGCGATTCTAAAAACACATTCTTGTAGGAAATTGTAATCTGAAATTAGGAGGAAAGGAAAGTAGCTTTAACTAAAGATAACTGTGAAAATCTTAGCATAAACCTTACAAACATTTTCGTGAAACCAGCTGTTAATTTTATAATGAGTAGTGTTTTACACACTAAGCAACAATTAATCCTTTAAAGCAGCGAATTCTGATTGTCGTTTCTCTCTTTGCTTATGGTTGAAAAATCTTAATTTTGATTAGTAGTGTATTCGGGAAGTTCTTAGAATCGCTCGAGGAATTAGTACGTTTATTTATTTAGTTTTTAAAACATAATTTATGTTTCTCTAACTAAAATGAGTAATCTTCAATAACCATATATAATGTTACATCTTATATTTAACAAAGTTACCGGCCCGGCAGCGGCCGAGCGGTAAAGTCGCTGAACACTGGTAGCTCGGTCCGAGGCTCGAATCC